TAGTACACACACACTGTGTTGTATTGCCAACAATTAGGTATTTAGCAAAGGGATGTGTTAGTCAGGGTTCTCCAGAGAAACAGAACTAATAGGATGTATATACAGAGATGATTTTAAATAATTGGCTCACATGATTGTGGAGCCTGGCAAGTCTGAGATCTGTAGGATGGACCAGCAGACGGTAAATTCAGGTAATAGCTGATACTGTAGTCTTAAGTATGAAATCCACAAGCAGGCCAGGCAGGATGGAAACTCATGTAGGGTTTCTTCAGTGCAGTCTTGAGGCAGAAACCTCAGTCTTTGCTTTCAAGGCCTTCAACAGATTGGATGAGGTCCATCCACTTTATGGAGGGTAATTTGCTTTACTTAAATCAAATTTAAAGTCTGATTGTAAATGCTTATCACATCTAAAAAATGCCTTTACAGCAATACCTAGATAGTGTTTAACCAAACAACTGGGCACCATAGCCTAGCCAAGTTAACATAAAATTAACTATCACAGGGAGTATTTTGTTTTGTTGGTTTAGTTTGGATTTGGGTTTGGGTTTTACAATGATAGTAGTGGTGGTTATGTTGGTAATATGATAGAATTATCATGTTTCTTCCATTAGAATTTTTCAACCAATTTACATTTAGTTTATAGTGAGAGAGCTGCAATTCAGAAACCAGGCTGAGGTACTAATCTATTTCATAAGATGTTAGGCATCTAAATTCTAATAATTCTATTATGGCATGCAATTAACATACTCAAAATTAGATAATTAATCATTGTAATTGGCTATTGGACTTGCAATAGCTCTAATAACTTTGTAATCTAACTTAAGAATGAATCTGTGTCAATAGATACATCTCAACAGAATTAAAACGTGGAGTGATTATTGAAATCCTAGTAATTTAAATTTATACATGTAAAATTTAAACGATTCCTCCCTCATCAACCTAGACCATAAAAATAGACCAAATGAGGATTTTAACCATCAAGGTTGACTTAAAAAAAAAACAAACAAAGTAATCCAGAACTGCCCCCAGACCTGGCAGGTAGAACATGCCAAAACTAGAGGACATCACTGTCCTCTCCCAGAGGCTGACTGCTTACCCTAGGAAACACCACCACGGACAGCAGGCCTCGAAGATCAAAACAAAACGTGGCTTTGTGAATATAATGTGGGCTTTGGAATCAGAAACTCTGCCATTTGTTGCTTGGTGACAACAATCTCTCCATCTTGAAGGATTAAATTCTGAGGGTTATTGGGGATTGATTAAATGAGTTTGTGCTGGTAAAGTACCTACTACAGAGCCTTGTAGTTAATAGACACTCAATAAAAGGTGTTTATCTCTCTCCTGGCACCACAGACCCCCTGACTTCTCCTTGCTAAGTCCAACAACTTGGCTTCTTTAGTTCACCTTCATTTGTTCCAGGGGCCCCTCTTTTTAAACATCAACTATTTATCCAATGCCTATTCTGTGGATGGCTCCCTATCTCAAGAGTTATAAAGATGAATGAGACACAATCTCTGGCCTCAAAATCTCTGGAAAATTAGAAATTATTCTAAAGCCCAGATAGAGTGAGTTCCCTTCCACTATCCTATATAAGTACAAGGTCTTCCAAAAACGGCTCCCTATCTCAAGAGTTATAAAGATGAATGAGACACAATCTCTGGCCTCAAAATCTCTGAAAAATTAGAAATTATTCTAAAGCCCAGATAGAGTGAGTTCCCTTCCACTATCCTATATAAGTACAAGGTCTTCCAAAAAAATCCTATATAAGTACAAGGTCTTCCAAAAACTTCATTCCCAGCTTCTTGGTCCTCCTCTTACTTTCCTCTTGCCTCTCTGAAGTTCTAAGTCTTTGTTATGACACAGATTCCAGAACCTTCATAAGCCATACTCCCACAGTTTGCTTAGGTCTGATCAACCTGAGCCACACAATTCCTCAGCAACCCCTTGTCTACAAGGGCCTCCCTGACACCCAAGTTCATACTGCTCAGAAACACTGAGCTTGAGTTGTTCATTTTTTCTTAATCTCCCTCTGACAAAGAAATCCAGATGACATGGAACCAACCGAAGACAGTACCTGAAAAATGGCAGTCTTGGGTATGGACCGATGCCCTCTCTGAGGCTTCCCTCACTCTGCTGGCTCAGGCGTCTTCTCGGAGGAGCTCTGGCGCAACTGCTTTACCTGCCTCCCCTGCTTCCTCTTCAAATTCAATATCCTTCCTTTCACTCTCATTGATTCTTCTGAGAGCCTGGGGGAGACAGCCCTCAGTCCACTCAGTTCTAGAGTGGTAGTGCTGGTTTCCCCTTTGGCTTCTAAGGTTTGAACTGACCAAAGAAAATAACCATCTGCCACAGCACTAGAAAAATTCCTTAGCCCATTATCTCCTTTCCTATAGCACTGTTCACCCCATGATCTGTCTCAACTCTGAGAAATAATGACTTCCTCTTACTTTTCTCATCAGTGGGGTGGGCCATCTTCTCACTGCTCTACAGCCAGAGCATTTTAAAGTCCAAAGGGAGAACTGCTCTCCAGACGCTTAATCTGAGCACACCACCTAGTTATCCCTTCCACTCCTGAGGGTTATTACATTAGTCAAAAAATTGACTGGCATAACAGAGGCCAGACTGACTATTTTCTGTTCACTTTAGTGGTACATGAGTAGCAAGTCTCTGAAGGTTGATTTGGCATAAGCATTTTCTCACATGGCCAAATACCTAAAAGACTAAGTAGACATGTGCCTAATCAGCCCTGATTGGAGGTATGTTATTACATCTTAAGGTGGATTCACCTAGTCTTTTTGAAGTAGCCTTAATATCTCTCTCTCTCTCTCTCCCTTCTTTTACCTTCTCCCACAGCCTTCATAGCAACTGTTCTTCATAACCATACAAAGTTGTCCAAGTTTTTTCTCTCCTATGACTGCAAGACTCTATCTTATATCGACTGAATGCAAATCAATAACACATAAACACAGATTAGGCAGTCCCAGCATGCCTTCTCCTATCAACCACAGTAACAAACCTCACAAATAGCCGTCTTATCATGAGGGGCTTGGTGGATGATGACTGAAAGGTCTTTCTCAATAATAAGAAATTTCTGTCCCCTGCTATGTCTTTCATTAATATAACCACCTTCAGTGAGCTTCCTCCAGTCAGGGACCTCCAAAGTTTTTTTGATCACCCACCCATGTAAAACTTTTTGAGTATGAATTCCCTATATGTGCATATTAATAAATGTTCATCACATTTATTAATATGCATATATAGGGAATATATATATATATGTATGCACATTTTAAAACAAAATGTACATTTTAAAACAAAAATCTACAAATTTTAAAGGTATGAGATACAATTACATAAAAGTAGAAGTTCTAATATTTTTTCTCATATCCAGTGGATTGCTTTGCATATCACTGATCCCCTCTAACCTTCCGCCTGGGGAATAAGGAGTACAACTGAGGAGAAAATATGTCAGACTGCCCATTCTAAATCAAGCATACACAGCATCTGAGGTAATTAGTATATGACCAAAAGGACCCATAGAAGAGCTAAGAAATGGGCAGGGGCAAGGAGCTGAAGCAGCAAAAAAGAGAGAGAAAAAAAGTCTACTTGGTGCACAGTAAGAGGTGACCAGACATTATCTCTGATAATGGGCCTGGTCTAAATAAGCATGCTAAAGTGAGTTTTTGTTTCAGAGATAACTCTGGCTGTCATCCTGACTCTACTGGGACTTGCCATTCTGGCTATTTTAATAACAAGATGGACACGACACAAGCAAAACGGTGAGTAAGAATGAGTCAAAATGAAGATTCCCTGTGGAACTCACAGAGGGAGGGGTGCCAAGGTTCAGTCTGAGTTTGTCTCTACTTGTCAGATAGCTAGAGACTTTGCTTTTATTCTGGGAATCTGTTTCAATGCATGAGTCAAAGATCTCTGGCCTAATAGTGGTTCCCCCTGCACTTTTAAACTCCCAAAGCTTACATCATCAATAATGTCAACCAAAAAAATCACAGATAGAGCTTAGCAAGATTAATAAAAACACTTTAAAAGAAAACGATATGAGCTCCAAGGGAAATTACTTGTAAAAAAAGAAAAAAGAAAGAATACAGTATACTAGTAGATAGCAATATCTAGTATTATACAGAAAGAATTGAAGACTTTAATGACGTAATATGCAAAGATGATAAGAAAAAACAAACATAAAGTAGCTCCTGTCAATGAAACAGAGATGGGGTTCAGAAAAGTAAAGTCTTATTTCTATGCCATAAGGTCCCTCTTTCCAGGAGTTTTCTGGATAACTTTCCCATTCCTTTCTAATCATCTACGTTCCTTTCCTATCTGCCATTCTCAATGCCTGTTAGCCCTCAGAGAATAAGTGGTGTGAAAACAATAGAACAGGGATGGCTGGTGATGCTGAAAAGAGGTGAGAACCAGTAATGCTTACATCAGGAGGACCACCCTGGGAACAAAGAAGCAGTTTAAGATGAGGACAGTTGAGTCACGAGAAGAACACCTCTCACAAGTAGCTAATAAACATTTTTGCCTAATTCTTCCACAGAAATGTATGTCTCCAGATACAGTTCAGAACAAAGTAAGTACTTATACCTATGAGAAAAAGAAATATACTAAGTATTTATGGAATTTTCATATGGCAGGAACAGAGTCTGTCATGTTGACCACTGTGTTTCCAGCACGTTGCATAGTGCATCATTCCATGAGCTGACTTCTAAGTTACTGGGAGCAATCAACCAGAGATTTCTGGGCAGCACTGAATGCCAAACTGGAGTTGGAAGAATGAATTAGTAGTATGTAGGCCTACATGATTCTGAGGCTCCCTTCGGATGTTTCCTGCGGTCTGAGAGCAGCATAAAGATACCAAACCATGGAAATAGCAGACTCCTCAGACAGTGGAGCACGTGATTCAGCAGAAGACCTAAGAGTCTGGTAGCAAAGGGTGCCTCGGTAAGGTAGCTGGACAGAAGAATCTCACGTAGCCAGTAATGATGAGCGTGAACACAGCTAAGGTGATTATGATTGTGAAGAATAGCACCAAGTTGAGATGTGAAGAGGTGAAGCAGACTTTCCATGACAAGATCTGGAGAGATGCCGAGGTTGCTAAGAAAGATAGCTCAGCATTGGTTAGAGGGGAAACACAGGAGCTAGGTGCCAGAGCATCAAGAGGTAAAAGCAACCTCGAAGTTCCTTCTAATTATCATTTAGCCAGGTTAATATTATGAAAATGGTGACTGGCACAGTCACTTATCATTGTCTGCCCCTGCTACGTATGCACGATCTTTAGCTGCTGCAAAGTAAATTAATTCACATCATTGCTCACCACTGGGGGTTCATGTTTACATTGGCTCACGGAGCTAATGTAATTTTTAAATTAAGCCCCACTAATAGTCAAGTAGTAAAATCATGGCGCTCTCTCTCCTTTTTCCTCTAGGTACTGGGCTTCTGGACTATGAGGATAGTAGAGGTAAATAGGTTAGAAGTTACTAGAGAATTAATAAAGGAATGAATTATTAGAACTTTAAAAATGACTTGTTAAGTCAGCACATCTTTTGCTGTTATAATATCCAACCGTGTATTAATCTGTCTATATTACATATACATTTAATACATATGCATACACAAATATGTATAAAAATGCAAAATACAAACACATATACAAATAAAATATATATACATTGAAATTAGTGGTGTGTGTGTGTCCCTGAAAAAAAGTAGACAGTGACTTATGGACGCTTCATAACAAATTTCTGGAGAAGTTTTACTTCACATAAACTTTATCATTATTCCTCATTCATGTCAGACCATATGTCTTGATTTGGGGGACAGGTCATAACTTTTTTTTTTTTTTTTGTCCTTTTTGAGACCGGCTGCACTGCGCTCAGCCAGTGAGTGCTGTGAGCGCACCGGTCATCCCTATATAGGATCTGAACCCGTGGCAGGAGCGCTGCTGCGCTCCCAGCGCCGCACTCTCCCGAGTGTGCCACGGGCTCGGCCCCATAACTTTATTAATAGTAAATAGTTAAATTCAGAATAACATCATTTTTTGTCTTAAATCAAGTGGGGGTAGTATGGTGTACAGATATTAGTACTATATTCAGAGTCACAAAATCTGGGTTTAATATCCAACTCCTTCCTTAGCTAGTCTCAATCTTTTTGAGCATCAATTTTATCTTCTAAAATGAGGATAGCAAGTTTTGTTTATTTTACATGTACTATTGCATTTAATCTTCATGGCAACATGTGAATTACATACCGGATCCTCATTTTAAACATCCAGGAAATTGTTTCAGAGAGAAACAATCTAAGATCTTGGGGTAAACAAGAACTGGAAATGAATTTTTTAAAATATTCTTAGGAAGGGGAAATATCTGTCACTAGGGACCTATGGTTTCCTCTCAGTATCCCTTTTGTGAGAAAAAATGCACAATGTGCATTTGTGTGTGTGTGTGTGTGTGTGTGTGTGTGTGTGTGTGTATATATATATATAATTATAGAGCTTATTTAAAATAAAACTTCTCCAGAAATTTGATGATTATGAGAGGACTACAAGGCACTGTCTAATTTTTGCAGAGACACGCACATACCGCTGATTTTTTTTTTTTTTTTGTCTTTTTTGTGACCGGTAAGGGGATCGCAACCCTTGGCTTGGTGTCGCCCGCACAGCGCTCAGCCAGCGCACAGGTCATCCCTATATAGGATCCGAACCCGCAGCGGGAGCTCCGCTGTGCTCCCAGCGCCACACTCTCCCGAGTGAGCCACGGGGCCGGCCCCATACCACTGATTTTAATGCACCACAGCTGTCCTTAATCCTCATACCCCAGCCCTCGCCGATCTCTCTCAACATCCACTCACTTGGTCTGCTCATGGATGTGCCCTCTGCTCTCCCTCTGACCACTTCTATCTTCAGAACTCATGAAGAACCACTAGAGCCATCTCATTCCTGCGAGAGGCCCCTAAAATTGTCCATATTAGGCCCACCAACCAAACAATAACTATGAAGTTATAGGGCTACAGATGTGGAAATAATTACACACACACACATACATACATATACAAATGAACACACACACATACTAGAAGCATACAGATCCCCAAGAAGTGAAGAAAGAAAAGAAGACGTGGCTTGGTCACTCTGCTGGCTGTCCATGCCTCACTCTTGAACTCTTGGTCCATTTCTCTGCTTCTTAACTCTTTGATTCATCTGCCATGAACAAGGGTGAGTAGCAAAGGGCCATGGCATCCTCTCTTTCTTTTCTGAAATGGAACCCAAAGAAAATGGGAATATCTGGGAAAGTAGCAAATCTCTTAGTAGTTGAATTTAGACTAATGATAAATTTATCTCTTGATGAGCTGTTGGCAAAGTAATCTGTTCTTTTTTTCTTCTTTCCCCAAAGATTTTTCTTCTCAGAGATCTAAAAGAGGAAAAGGTAAACAGATTTTCATCTAATAAGAAAATAATGCAGACATACTTGTCAAGGTAGAATCCCATTGTTTTCATCTTTTCTTTTAGGACTCCGACATGCATATTCAACAGAAAGTGGTAAATAAATTAGACATTGGATTGCTAATAAATTAATACAGAAGTTCTGTCCACGAGAAATTAAGAATCTTTTATTTTTTCTTCAATCCTCTAGAAAGTTCATATGATGACCAAGGTAAGTATATTTAGAGATTACGATAAAATTAAAGGAACATTAATTTTTCTTTCTGCCATAACATGAGGGGCTGTAAAATGACAAGAAATCAAAGTACCATGTAGATTATTCCAAAAATGTTCACAAATGTTCACCTTTGTATTATGAGGCACCATTCTCCCTGATGCTATCCATTTTCTCTCCTATCCACCTCCTAATCAGTTAACAAAAGTAATCTAGAGAGTGACATCAGCAAGACGGCAGAATAGGGGATTTGTACTGTCATCTTCCACAGAAGCAGTGATTTAGACAACTATCCACAGATAAGAGTACTTTTGTAGGAGCCTAGGAGTCCAGTGGAGAAGTTCCAACACAATGTTGGATTATAAAATCCTAGAATAGATGCATGAAAGAGGGTAAGAAGAACACTTTCACTTTACTTGCATTACCCCTCCCACAAGGTGGCACAACTTAATGCCAAGAGAGGTACCTTTGACCCACAATTTCTCCCATAGCAAAAAGCAAAAGAGTAGTGAGTGACTTCCAACCTCCCCCCGCCATGCAGGATGCTGCCCAACAGGTCCATATCTTTCTTACCCCACCTTGAATACTAAGGTGATTAGCATGGCTGAGTGGTTGACAGAGGCTGGGAAAAGAGCCCACAGAACTCACTCAGTGATCTATAGACTCCATCAAGAAACCTACCCATGAGCCACATGAACTGGCCCACAAGCACTCCAAACATTCCATGCACCTCATCCCCCCCAACCCAGCCTGGCTCCCTGATTGTGCTCCCATAAATAGCAAGTGGAAGCATCTCACGCAGTTGGCTCTGCTCTGTGGGATTGAGAGAAGGTACACAAACTTGAGGATTCTAGGGCACCACCCTAGGGAATACAAATGGGAGACTCTCAGGGTATGGTCTAGCTTTGCAAAATCAAGAGAAGACACACATCTTAAAAAATACCACCCAAGAGGGAATAAGAGCTGTAAAGAAGGTGCATCCATAGAAAAGGTGTGAGAGAGCCTCAAACCCCTAGCCATGCCTTTGGTAAAAGTATTCCTCTCCCAAAGATGGTCAATAAATACTAGACAGGGTGACTGTTTCTTCAAACATGAAAAGTCAATGCACGATTTCAAAGACATGAAAAATCAAGAAAACATGACACCACCAAAGCAACACAATAATACTACAGTAACCACCACCACCCCCAAAATGGTGATTTGCCTGAAAAGAAATCTGCAAATTGCCTGACAAAGAATTCAAAATAATTGTTTTAAGGAAGCTCATAAAGGTACAAGAGAACACAGGTAAACAATTGTTGGGTGTCTCCAGTGGCCGCACAGGACCCCAACAGGTTTTTCCTTTCCCTAGAGGGTTGGAGCCAAAGGGATTGCCCTTTTCTACCCCCAAGATGTGGGGCAAAAAGAGATTCCAAGAGATGGGTGAGCATGCCACTGCTCTCCCAGATAGGGAACAAACACATACACATGCAGCGGGGGTTCTGTCAGGCAGTTACATTTATTGTAACACAAAAGATCATATTTATATGCTTAGCAGGCGGGGATTTTCAAGCTTAGGCCAATCCTTGAAAAGGTCAAATGTGCACATGCCTTGCCTCTCTATGCTTAGCCCTCCCCCTTAACTTCCCTTGTGGTCCACCTTTTATCCGTTTAGGCCATCTGTTGTTTTTGCGTAGAAAAAGGGTGCAGTCCCATAAACAATTTAATGAAATCAGAAAAACAATATGAACAAAAGGAGAACTTCAACAAAGAAAAGAAAGCACAAAAAGAATCACAGAAATTTTGGAGCTGAAAAATATGAGTGAAGTTAAAAAAGCAATAGAGAGCTTCAATAGCACATGGGTCAAGTAAAAAAAAAAAAAAGTGAAGTTAAAGACAGCATTTTAAATTATCCAGTCAGAGGAGGGGGTGAAAAAAACAATAAAAAGGAATGAAGAGAGCCTACAAAATTTATGTGATACCATCAAGAGAATTAACTTTTGCATAATGAGAGTCTCAGAAGGAAAAGAGAAAGAAAATAGGGCAAATGCTTATTTAAAGGCATAATGACTGAAAAATTCCCAAATCTGGGGAGAGAGATGAATATACAGGTATAAATTTCTTTGGTCAGATTCAATCCAAAGAAGACTTCACCAAGACATTTTATCAAACTGTCAACAATCAAAGATGAAGAATGAATATGAAAAGAAGCAAGAGAAAAGAAGCAAATCACAAGAGAACATCAAAAAGGCAATCTGCATTTCTAAGCAGATATTTTATAGGCAGGAGAGAGTGGGATGATATATTTAATGTGCTGAAAGAAAAAAACTGCCAACCAAGAGTACTTCACCCTGCAAAGCTGTCCTTCAAAAATGAGGGAGAGATAAAGATTTTCCCAGATAAACAAAAGCTGAGGGAGTTTAACACCAGGAGACCTGCCATACAAAAGAATGCTAAAGCAAGTTCTGGGGTACAATCTCATGTTTTGATACATATATTTGTTGTATAATGATCAGGTAAGGGTAGTTAATGTATCCATCACCTCATGCATTTATCATTTCTTTGTGGCAAAAACATCCAAAAGACTCTCCTCTAGCTATTATGTAATATACAAAACTTACCTGTTAACCATAGTCACCCTACTGTGCAATAAAACACCAGAACTTATTCCTTCTAATTGTAATTTTGTATCCATTAGACAACCTCTCCCTCTTTTCCCTTTCTCCCCTCCTCCCCAGTATCTGATAACCACTGCTCTATAATGCCAGTATGAAAGTTAAAATGAAAGTATTAAAGAATAACTATAGCTACAATGATTTGTTAATGGATATATATAATATAAAAAGATGTAAATTTAGTCAACAAAAATATAAAATAGGTGGAAGAGAACAAAAATGTAAAATTTAGTATGCAAAGTTAAGTTGTTATCAACTTAAAATAGACTATTGAAATTATAAGATGTTTTACGAAAGCCTTATGGTAACCACAAATGAAAAACCTACATTAGATATACAAAATAGAAAGAGAAAGAAATCAAAGGAGATCACTACAGAAAATCATCAAATCACAAAGTAAGACAGTAAGAAATGAAGAAGGGAATGAAGGATCTACAAACAGCCAGAAAGCAATCAACAAAATAGCTATAGTACTTACCTATGGATAATTACCTAGAATGTAAATGGATTAAATTCTCTAATCAAAATACAGAGTGGCTAAATGAATTAAAAACAAGACCCAGCTATAAACTACCTACAAGAGACACTTCAGCTTTAAGGACACACATAGATTGAAAGAGAAGGAATGGAAAAATACATTCCACACAAATGGAAAACAAAAGAAGCCAGAAGAGACTATAAAATTAACAAGACTGAAATCATGTTAAGTATCTTTTCTGATCACAATGGTATAAAACTAGATATCAATAACAGGTGGAAAACTGGAAAATTCATAAGCATGTGGAAATAAAACAACACCCTCCTGAACAACCAAGGGTCAAAGAAGAAGAAATCATAAGGGATATTATAAAATATCCAAAATAAACAAAAATGGAAGCACAATATACCAAAACTGATAAGATATAGCAAAAGTGGTTCTAAGAGGAAAGTTTATAGAAATAAGTATTTGCCAGAAGAAAAACAAGATCTCAAAATCCCAATGTTATATCTTAAGGAACTAGAAAAAAAAAACCCAAAGTTAGTGAATAGAAGACAATTACAAAATTCAGAGCAGAAATAAATGAAATAGAGATTAGAAAAGCAATAGGAACTATCAACAGCACTAAGAGTTGGTTTTTAAAAAGATAAAATGGACAAACTTTCAGCTGCACTAAGAAAAAAAAGAAAGGACTTAAATAGAATCAGAAATGGAAAGGAGATTTTATGACTGATACCACACAAATACAAGGGATCATAAGAGACTACAATGAGCAAATTATACACCAACAAATAGGAGAACCTAGGAAAATGGATAAATTCCTAGGTACACACAACCTCCCAACACTGAATTGTAAAGAAGTAGAAAATATGAACAGACCTACAATGAGTAAGGAGATTGAATCAGGAATTTAAAATCTCCCATTAAAGAAAAGCCCACAACTATACAGCTGCACAGGTAAATTCTACCAAACATTTAATAAGGAATTAATACCAATCCTTCTCAGACTCTTCCAAAGAATTGAAGAGGAGGAAGGAACACTTCCAAACTCATTTTACCAGGCCAGCATTATCCTGATACCAAATCCAGGAAATGACACTACATGAAAAGAAAATTGATGGCCGGTATCCCTGATGAACATAGATGCAAAAATTCTCAACCAAATACTAGGAAACCAAATTCAATAGCTCAGTAAAATGATCATAAATCACGATCACTCATTCTTACTCCTGGGCTGTAAGAATGGTTCAAATCACACAAATCAATATAAGTGACAGAAAGTGAAGGGGAAAAATTATATTACCATCTCAATAGATGCAGAAAAGGCATTTCCAGAATTTAACATCCTTTCATGATAAAAACTCTCAGCAAATTATGTATAGAAGGACAGTACCTCAATATAATGAAGACCATGTGTGACAAAGACCACAACTCACATCATATAATAGGACTCCCAAAAATTCATGGAATAATAGTATTAAAAGATAAAAATAAAAAATATAAACTTTATTTCTCAACATAAGATCCGTCAAGTTCAAGATACTTCTGTAAGCAGTGATACCAGCCATTTAGTCTATCCCTAAAGAACTGAAGTTCCTGGGATTTTAACTATGTCAGTGTAGCTTTTCTTACATTATTAACTGAAGAAAAAATGAGTGCCCTTTAAAGATTTTTTAAGATTAGGAAAGAGAAATAGTCAGAAGGAGCCAAATCAAGACCGTAAGTTGGATGCCTAATGATTTCCCATCAAAACTCTTACAAAATTACCCCTGTTTGATGAGAGAAATGAGCAGGAGCATTGTGGTGGTGAAGGACTCTGGTGAAATTTTCCCAGGTGTTTTTCTGTTAAGGCTTTGACTGCCTTT